ACGCATTATCCTGCCCATGCAATTGTAACCCCTCTGTACAGTTTGTTCACAAATAAAATAAAATAAAATTTAAAAAAAAAAAAGAAAAAAAAACATCCATACCCATTGATGTCTGACTAGGTTGTATGACAGGCACAAGAAACTGGTAATCAACATTAATGGGCCATTTTACAGTTCTGAGATCTTTGCAGTTTGGTAAATTCTCAATTGCACACATTTATATACTTGTGCTATAAAGGATAATGACCCTACAGGCAGTGAATAAGTCTATAGAGCAAAAGAAAGTAGGGTATTTAAGAAGTGGCACATCTAAGTACACAAACTTTGGATGGTTATGCTGTCATAGAATTAAAGTTTCAAATCAATTTGGAACCAAACTATCAACAGCTCTACAGTAAACAGTTTGAACAATTTCTAATGTAGCACTATGTGTTGGACAAGTTAGTGAATGACAGGTGAGCCTTGGGAAAGCAGCAGGACTTACAAAGGATCATTGACAACTGTCCTCAAGGGCCCAAGCAAGTCTGCACTGGTCATGGTGTTCATGTTCACCTCCACAGCTGCTCCTTTGGCCTTCATGTGAGCAATGTTGTCAAGCTGGTCACCATACATGGGGATTCCTACCATTGGGATCCCATGATATATAGCTTCATAGATCCCATTAGTTCCACCATGAGTGATAAAAGCTTTGGTTTGGGGATGCCCTGGATTGAAGATACAGTGAGAACATGAGAAGTGGGTATACACTGATGGAATTTTAGAGACAGAAAGGATAAAACTACAATATCAGCCCCTGCAGGGGATCACATTTTCTTCAACAATTGAACACTTGAGACATTGCTAAACCAGAAAAGTGAATCCTCTGGATTATCAATGAAGGAATTACTTAGAAGGTGACAGGTAACTGGGGCCTGAGGTGTAATGAGAGTCCTAACTGAAGATACTCTTTTGTGATCTAAGGGATGCATGAATCTATCCAACTAGTGGTTGAGTATATGATTGTGCCTACTTTCAAACTAGAAGTCAAATTTAATTTTAAAATTATTATATAGCTTTCAATTTATTTACTGTAAATTTTTATTAATTTAATTTATTGTTGTAGAGGTGAAGTCCAGAGGGATTACACTTACATGAGTCGGGTAATGAGTACATTTCTTTTCATACAGCGTCTTCTGTCCTCATGTTTTCCCAGTCACTTCCTCACATCTCCACACATGAGTTGTATAATTCATTGTCATCAGTGTCTACTGAGGTCCACAACTGCACTTTTTCTCCCTTTTTCTCTTGAGTTCTATCCCCTTTCCCCAACCCTTCTGAAGATGTACACTTGAGTACATGATACATAAGGTTAAGAAGACAGAATCATCAAATACTAAAAACTAAAAAAAAAGAAAAGAAAGAAAAAGAAAGAGGTCTCTTGTTTCCTATCCTGGAATTTGCTTCAGTATGTATATTATTTTATGCAAACATGAAGAAGCACTTTGGCATTGCACCCCTGTGTATCTCACCTAAAAGTATCCTTTTTTGGTCTCACTGTATGTGAGCATCTAGAATTCTGTACTTCACTTAACATGTTGTGTTTTAGTTCCATTCATTTCTCTACAAATGACATTATTTTATTTTTTCTAATGGCAGTGTAAAATTCCATCGTGTATAGATATCCTTTTTAAGAATCCACTCATCTATTGTGGGACATCTGGGCTGTTTCTATATCTTGGCTATTGTGAATAGTATCAAAATGAATATGGATTCACAGGTGTCCTTTTTATATCCTGGCCCATGATGTTCAGGGTAGATGCCCAGGAGTGGTATGGTTGGGCCATAAGGAAGGTTTTGGTTTACTTTCTTGAGGAACTTACAGACTGCTATCCAGAGTCACTGTACTAGTTTACATTCCCACCAATAGTGAAGTAGGGTTCCATTTTCCCCACTTCTCTGCCAATATTTGTTGTTCAAATTCACAATGTTGACCAGTCTTACTGGGGTGAGATGAAGTCTCAAAGTTGTTTTGATTTACATTTCCTTTATGTTGAGGGGTAATGAACATTTCCTCATGTGTTTCTTTATCATGCCTATCTCTTCCTCTGAGAAGTCTCTCCTTAGCTCCCTTGACCATTTAGTGACTGCTTTATTAAGTTTAGGAAGGGTTAGCTTCTTGAGCTCCTTGTATATATTGGATAATAGGCTTTTGTCTGATAAACAATTAATTTACTTTTTTTTTTTTTTTTGCCGGTCATGGGGGCTGAACTCTGAGCCCAGGTCTGTCCCTCAAGTCAAGGCTAGGGCCTACCACTTGAGCCACAGTGCCACTTCCAGCTTTTTCTGCTTATGTGGTGTTGAGGAATCGAACCCAGGGCCTCATGCATGAGAGACAAGCCCTCTACCATTGAGCCAACTTCCCAGCCCTTAATTTAAATTTTAAAAGTTATTTAACATGTCTGCCAACCAACTGTACATATTTTCTTTCCCCACAGTCTTACCCAAAAGATCATTCTGGGGTATCCAGTCAAAGAGACGAGTATTAGATCGTAATGTTGCTGGCATCTTTCCATTGTATCTCCATAAAACCTGTGGAAGGCAATGTTGTAATTTTGAGGATCATTTCACATCGAGGTTATAGAATTATTTAGAACCAACAAATATATTATAATTTAGATGATAGCTAAGTAGGTAAATGGTCAAATTTGCAGAAAGACTTACTTATAAGGGAGGAGGAAAGAGTCAGGGAGGTGAGGAGGGAAGGGATGGTATGGGAAAAACAAAGAAGGAGGTAACAATGCTTGATAGGAAATGTACTCATTACCTTACTCATGTAATTGTAATCCCTTTGTGCAGTATCTTTAAAATAAAGCATACAAAAAAGAATTATTTATAAATAATTTTTACTTAATACTAATGTCAGGTACACTCAATATATAAAGAGCTTTACATTTTTGTTATTTTTTTGCTATTTTTTAAATTTTATTTTATTGTAAAGATGCTGTACAGAGGGGTTACAGTTACATGAGTAAGTCAATGAGTACATTTCTTGTCAAGCATTGTCTTGTTCTCCCATTATCCCTTCTCTCCCCCTCTTTCCTCACTTTCTCCCTCCCCCCTCAAAGTTGTAAAGCTCATATGATACCCACTGTCTCATGGGTATCATTGTTGCAATGGGACATCCTGGGTCCTTGTTTCAGTATTTTGTTATTCCCCTTCCCCTCCCCCAAATTAGACAAATGTATGTACAAGATGCATGGTACCAAAATCAAGTACAATCAAATTAAATGCAGTTAACCAGATACAAAGAAATATGGGTCTAATGGTTTCCCTCATTTGCAATAATTTATATATGTATAGGATAATTTTATCAGGTGAGCAGAAAAGCTCAAAAGCTATGTACATATGACCATATAAAATGATGCTAAGTGAAATGAACCCTAAGATATAAACACAAGAGGTCTTTCTTTGTTGTTGTTGTTTTTAATGTACTATGTGATTTTTAAAAAATTTTCTTTGTATGCTCTTCCCCCTATGATAATTCCCTGTTGTTACTGTAAGAGTTTTTATTTTTAAGCCTGATGATGGTGACTCATGCCACTCAGGAGACTAAGATGTGGATAATGTAGTTTAAACCCAGTTGGGACAGGAAAAGCCATGAGATCCTTATCTCCAACAAACTATGCAAAAAAAAAAAAGCCAAAAGTGGTACTGTGGCTCAAGTGGTAGACTCCTAACCATGAGTGAAAGAAGCACACGGAAAGTGCCCGGGCCCTGAATTCTGGCCCTAAAATAGGAACCTATTACCCCAAAAATGCTTGAAAATATTAATTAAAAACATGGACATAGTTTCCTTAGGACAAAATGGATTTAAAAAAGTAAAATTTTTCTTAAATGCTTGTTCCAAAATGAAGGTGAACATCAAAATGTTCAAAAAATAATAGAAGTTATGAGCATGTTTGAATTTCAAAAAATAAAGCTTATAAAATATTAGTAAGATTGGTATTGAGTAAGTTTACTGTGATTTTACAAAATGAATCTAAACTTTTTTCCCTAAGGTGAAAATTAATACACTGAGGTAAAAATAAGTATACCTATTTTATGACCATCTAACAAAATAATTACTTGTGTAATATTAACCTTGTCAAATTTTAAGATTAAAAAACTGAGTAGCAGCTAAGTCAAGGTTCATTTAAGTGGTTGTGTATGTCAAGGTCCTTCAAATAATCACATTTTAAATGTGTATGTAAAACTAAAATGCTACTTTTTGTTGTCTGATATTTCTGGTTATCCAAGTACATATGCCGTCATGGATACAAAGCTGAAAATGAGACCAGCAGACCTGAGTTCTTGGGTGCCTGTTTATAATCCAAAATGCTTAATAACATCTACAATGCTTCTTTCTTTTCTTTTTTTTTACAAGTCCCCCCACCAATGCTTCTTTCTTAATTAGTATCTTAAAGTGCTATATGCAAATAGAATAAAATAAAAATAAAATAACTGGAGGATTTAATCAGTTATGATTTTCATTCTTAAAACAAAAACCAGAGTTGTGATTTTTACCTCCAAATCCCTCCATTAGCTATATTCTCACTTTAGTTAATAAAATGCTTCTCTGCTTTCCTGGACCAGTGATTTACTGACCTTCTGTGAAACTTGAGCAAGGGCTGAGGCAACGATATTGGCTTTCTTTTCTGTCAAGTTTTTGATCATGGAGCCTAGAGAAAACACCACCACATCATCTTGTCCTGAGCTCTGCACAAATTCTTCTATTTCCTATAGATATAAAATATTTATTGCAGCATTATTTACCATAGCCAAGATAAGGAATCAGCCCAAATGCCCCTTAATGGAGGAATAGATTTTTTTTTAATGTGGAATACATACACAATGGAATTCTACTCATCAATCAGAAAAAATGATGTTGTACAAGACCTAGAGAAACACAGGTTGCATGATTTTCCTCACTTGTGGGAGTTAGAATGGGCTTATAAATCTGTAAGTAAACACACTGAGTAGTATGCAAGTGGTTAAAACAAGTTAAGTGAAGTATAATAGATTCTTTAGAGAGCACGAATAATATAATTCAGTAGAAAATGTAAGTTAAAGCTCAACAAAATAAGAACCAGGAAATTGGTGTGGGGGGGGGAGGAGGGAAAGATGGATGGGGTTAAACCATGCAAGTCATAGAATGAAAGGGAGAAAGATGTAGAATATAGATGGAATATAGTCAAGAATGCATTGTATATATTTCAGAATTGAGAAAAATAAGGGAATGGGTTGATGAAAGCAGGAGGAAGATGTTGAAGTGATTACACTGAGCAAAACATGAATTGCTTTATTTACATGGAAAAAAATCAAAAAATAAGCTAAAAATTAAGGAAAGTGAGGGAAAGCTATGGTAGGGGCATTGGGAGAAACTGTTGAAAGGGGTGACATTGATCAAGATATAGGATGTTCATAAATTGCTCTTGTTCTCTCATTCATAACTGAAGAACAAATATAAAACTTCCGCTTCCGCAGGAAGGAAAAATTGAAACAATATATCCCTACCAATCCAGCATTACAGAAAATACTCAAAAATGGTCTACATGCAGAAAACTAACATGTATCTGATATTGGCAGAGAAACAGCCCCTAAACAAAGAGCAGATAATTATAGTAAGAATTGACAAGGCACTGCCCTTAAGAAGGGCTGGAACTACCAAACACCTCTCAATACTAACTTTCAATATTAATGGAAATAACTCTCCAATTAAATGGCATAGATTGACTAGTTGGATCAAAAAGTAAGCTCTGTGTTTCTGCTGTCTTCAAAACTAAGCATGCTCTGAAATAGAAAAGCTGGAATAAAATTTTTCAAGCAAATGGTCCCCATAAACAGGCTGGATTTTGCTTAACATCAATTTATCTGATAAGGACTCAAATGTTTTTCTTTCTTGCTATTGTTTCTAACATATTTATAAGATGATTTCTTTGTTGCTTTGTATGTCTCCCCCCCATGGTATAACCCCTGTTTTCACTGTATTTGATGTTGGTATAATTTGTGGAGGGGAAGAGCAAAAACAAATCGCTTAAATAGGGATACAGGTGGACCCATTGCAACAATGAGATGTACAAGTCATTATGTCAAAAAACGAACTTTACCACTTTGGTGAAGGGTGAGAGAAAGAGGGAGCTGGAAGAGATGGGAAGGGATGGTAAGGAGAAACAAAGGAGGAAGAAACAATGCTTGATAAGAAATGTACTCATTACCTTGCCCATGTAATTTTAACCCCTCTGTATGGTATTTTCACAATTAAAAAAAACAAGCTGGATTGATTTGCAATCAATATCAAATAAAATAGACTTCAAATTAAAATTAGTTTTGGGTTTTTTGGTCGCTCATGGGGCTTTAACTTTGGGCTTGAGCGCTGTCCCTGTGCTCTTCAGCTCAAGGTGAGGGCTCTACCGCTTGAGCCACAGTGCCACTTCCGGTTTTCTAGTGGTTTATTGGAGATAATAGTCTCCCGATGTTTCCTGCCCGGGCTGGCTTTGAACTATGATCCTCAGATCTCAGCCTCCTAAGTAGCTAGGATTACAGGCATGAGCACTGGCGCCCAGCTTTCAACTTAAAATTAGTGAGAAGAGATAAAGAAGGTCATTATATACTAATAAAGGTATCTCTCCTACAGGAAGATATAACAATCTTAAATATATGTACACTAAATGTCAGAGGACCCAACTTCATCAAACAAACACTATTTACACTAAAAACATACATAGATCCAAACACAATGAGCATGGTAATTTTAACACACCACTCTTATCTCTGCATAGATCAACACGGCAAAAGCTCAACAGAGAAACTTCAGAACTGAACAATTCCATAGACCAACAAGACTTAACATATCTACAGAATATTCTATCCAGCTACACAATAATATATGCTCTTCTTGGCAGCACATGGGTCATTCTCCAAAATAGATCATACTTTTAGGCACAAAGCAATTTGCAAATTCAGAAATAATGAAATTATTTTCTTCAACATCTCAGACCACAGCAGAATAAAATTAGAGCTCAAACCCAAAAGCTACCATAGAAAATTCTGTAATGCATGAAGAATGAACAACACATTGTGGAGCCAACAATGTGTCTTTGAAGAGATCAGAACAGAAAGTCAAACATTTATGGTAGTTAACAAAAATGATAACACAAAATATGACCTCCTCCAGGAGACAGCAAAGGTAGTACTTACAGGAAAACTTATATCTCTGGGTCTTATATCAACAAATTGTAGAAATCTTTTAAAAAATTAATGAAGCATCTTAAGCTTCTAGAAAAAGAGTATAAGCCAATGCCAACCCCAAAGATAGAAACAAACCATTTAAATTAAATCAGAATTAAATGAATTAGAGTCCAGAGAAACAATAGAAAGAATCAACAATAACAAAGAGTTGGTTCTTCAAAAAAATTAACGAAATTGGCAGAGCCTTGGCAAATCTTACCAAAAAAAAGAAGAGAACACACCCTTATAAACAAAATCAGAGCCTTGAAAGGAAATGTCATGACAGAAACAGATAGGATACAGACATTATAAAAAATACTTTCCAAACTTTTATGGTAGCAAATTGACGAATCTGGAAGAAATGGAAGAATTTCTAGCAAATATTCATACAACAAAAAAAAACACAAGAAGATTTAAACCAAATAAATAGAACCATATGAAGTAGAGAAATAGAAATGGCAATAAGAGACCTCTCATCCAAGAAAAGCCAAGAACCAGCTGGATTCACAGCTGAATTCTATAAGGCCTTCAAAGGAGAACTCACTCGAATGCTCCTCAAATTCTTTTTTTTTCAGGTTTGAAAATGGTCCAGTAATGAGTCTTTACTTAGTTATTTCCACACATTTTCTCTCTCTCTCTCTCTCTCTCTCTATATATATATATATATAATTATAAAATACTGTACAGAAGGGTTACAGTTAATGAAATTGAAGGCCAAAGATCACTATCAAACTCATTCCATGAAGCCAACATAACCCTGATCCTATAAACAGACAGGGATTCATCAAAGAATGAGAACTTCAGACCCATTTTTTGATGAATACTGATGTACAACTTCTCAATAAAATTCTTGCCAATCCCCTGCAACAAATCATAAAAAATATATACACTATCAACAAGATTCAGCACAGGGATGCAAAGTTGGCTCATATATGCAAATTAGTTAATGTAATTCAACACATCAATAGGAGCAAGGAAGAACCACATGATCATCTCAACAGATGCAGAAAAAGCATTGACAAGATCCAACACGCCTTTATGATGGAAGGTCTAGAAAAACTAGGAGTCCATGGAACATTCCTCAATGAAGGCAGTATATGACAAACCAACAATCAACATTATACTTAATTGTGAGAAGTTAAAGCCATAAAGCCATTTCCTCAAAATCAGGAAGGAGACAAGGATATCCACTCTCTCCTCTTCAATTTAGTATTGGAATTCCTAGCTAAACCAATAAGGAAAGAGGCAAACATAAAGGGGATCAAACAATGGAAAGAAGTAAAACTTTCCCTCTTTGCAGATGATATGATCCGGTATTTAGAGAACACCATAGACTCCATTCACAAGTTACTCAAGCTAATCCAAAACTTTTTCAAAGTAGTAAGGTAAAAAAATTAATCCACAAATATCAATAGTGTTTCTGTATGTCAACAATGAGAAGAGTAAGGCTGAAATCAGGAAAACAACTCCTTTTGTAACAGCCTCAAAAATACCTAGAATGTGAAGCAACTTTATAATGTAAACTTTGAAAATCTGAAAAAGGAAATTAAAAGTGGAAAGACCTCCTTGCTCCTGGATTGGAAGGATCAACATCATGAAAATGGCAATACTTCCCGAAGCTATCTACAAATTCAATGTGGTACCTATTAGTATCCCAACATTATTCTTTAATGAAATAGAAGAAGCAATCCAAAAATTTATATGGAATAATAAAAGACCTCAAATAGCAAAAATAGTCCTCAGCAGGAAGAATAGTGCTAAAGGAATATCAATACCAAACTTCAAACTCTATTTTTTTATTTTTTGTATATATTTTTATTATAAAATACTGTACAGGGGATTACAGTAGTTACATGAGTAAGTTAATTAGTATATTTCCTAGTGAGCATTGTTACCTCCTCCTTTGTTTTTCCCCTACCAACCCTTCTCCCCACTCTTCCTCCCCCCCCCCCGCCACCTCCCCAACTCAAAGCTATAGTAATATATATAGCTTGGGACTGGCACAAGAACAGGCCTGAAGACCAATGGACTAGAACTGACAAGATCCAAATACCTTTATAATGAAAGCTCTGGTAAAACTAAGAATTCATGGAACATTCCTCAATATAATAAAGGCTGTATATGACAAACCTACAGCCAGCAGTATACTTAATAGTGAAACGTTAAAGCCATTTCCTCTAAATTCAGGAGGTCCATGTTCTTTACTCTTCAACTTAGTATTAGAATGCCTAACTAGGGAACAAGACAAGATACAAACATAAAGGCGATCCAAATTGGAAAAGATGAAATATAACTATCCCTTTTTGCAGATGACATAATCTTGTATTTAAAGAATCCCATGGACTCCACTGCCAAGTTACTTGAGCTGATTCAAAACTTTGGCAAGTTAGCAGGGTATAAAATTAGCCCTCAGAAATCAATGGCTTTCCTGTATGCCAATAATGAGAAGAGTTCAGCTGAAATTAGGGAAGCAAACACTTTTGTAATAGCCCCACAAAAAATAAAATACC